CTCTCAAAACCCTAGGAATAGTAACCGCCGTTAATTTAAAAACACCTCTGATTTGTTCTTCCAAGTTAACTTGCCCCTCAAATAAAACTACTTCGGACTTGGGCCTAGCTTCAAACCCACATCTGACTTAGAGATTGATCGGCTCCCACATAAGAAGTGGTCATCCTAGTTTTTCTAACATCATCCTGGATGTTGATTAATAGCCATCTAATTTCAATTCCAGTGCTACTACAATAAGTTCTTTTAACTTTATGTGAAAAGTTATAGTTATTTTTCTTAAGTTTTTTCCATAAGGGAGTTTCATTATCCTTAAGTGTTTCATAAAGGATGAGACGAGATAATAAGTAAGCAGTTAATGTGCTTGTAGGGGACATCCATTTGGTCCGCAAGCTCGGGCCGGAGGTCCGGGCCGAGACGCCGCGACCCAAGCACTGGGCTTAGCCCTCGAGAACCCAGGCCTAAACGCGGTTCCGGGCCGGCGGGGGCCCTCGTTCGCGTACGGCCCAATAATAGTATATATTATATATATATATAATATATATTATACTAACATACATATATCATTGCATGTCTGAAAATTGATTTGCACAAGGCCTTTTTGCCACAATGCATCAACAGAGAATTTGTTTATTATATCATGCATCGCATGGGGTTTTCCCAGTTAAATGGATCGAATGATCAATGGAATCCTTTCACTTCTTCTTTTTCTGGTCCTCCTAAATGCTCCTCCTCAGGATTTTTTTCAAGTTAATCGAGGTAAAGACAAGGGAGATTCCTCTATCTCCAGTATTATTTGTTTTTGTTATGGAATTTTGGTCAATTGCATAGGAACTACTACTATTTCAAGGATATTCAAAATTCGCATAAGATGCACAGGATCTTAAATTTCTCGATATTTTATATTGCGGATGACATGATTGTCTTTTGTAGAGGCAAATAAAAAGTGCTTTTGAAGGTAATCAACTAATTTGCTTGTCCATCTATGGAATTGAAATACTGGATTGAAGAATTAAATAGGAGGCAAGAGTAAAATATTCTTCAGTAAAGGGTGGCATTAATAAAGGTCGAATTAAGTCTCTATTGGTGGGAATTTCAAGAGGGAAACTGCCTATGAAATCACTTGGGCTTACCTTTGTCTGTTAACTTATCCAAAATTCGAAAGATTTTCTCCTTTAGATTTGAAGAAAATCAGAAATTGGAAATTGAGGGATGGATGAACAACAACCTATCATTTGCGGAGATTAGAACTTATTTAAAGTCAATCCTATTTAGTACCGTCTGCTTACTGGTATTTTGTCTTTAACTTTGCCGCCAAATCAATTGTGAAAAGTCTGGAATTATATTTTGCAAATTTCCTGTGGATTGTAAGCCTTCATGGGCTATTACTTAGAAGGATGTTTGTCGGCGCCGCGTGGCAAAAAAAGAAGGAGGATTTGGACTGAGAAAAATTGATGATTTATGTCAACTGTGCGCATTAAGCTATATGGAGAATTACTTACTTCAACACACAGCTCTGGCAAAACTGGATTGCATGGTAGAATAATTAAAGGAGGTAATTTTTGGGATGCTACATCTAATATAATTGGACTCTGAACTATGGAAGCATTTATCAATCAAAAAGTAAAGCTCTGGAAATGCATTAGAAAATCTATAGCCAATGGTGTAAACAAACTTCCAATATTGGTTTGATCCTATGGATCAGGAAGGAAGAATTGTTGATCTGTTACATTCTCTCTCCCCTCAACAAACAGGAACTGCAATTGGATGTACAGCCCTCATACATAACTCCCATGGAACATTATAATCCATGGCCTAATTCCTCCTGCTGCCTTCTAATTTGCTAACATCTCTATTACAGGTCAGAAAGATAGCTGGCAAATGGCTGCCTACTGGTAACGGAGTGTTCATCTTTTTATTCAGGCTTGGATCACAGTTATACCGTAGCTCTGGTGCTTTTTGAACCTACAAATGTGGTATGGTTTCCATTCTTCAAACCCCGCTAAGGATGTCTTTATTGCTTAACTCAAAGCGTCTATATAACAGATTGTCAACGGCAGAGACAGGACTGATTAATTTGGAATCTCATCTTCTGATATCCTGTGTGCTCTGCAATCTAGCGAAGGAATCGTAGAGACCACCTTTATTTCCAATGCCCTACTCGATTTTCATTCTTGAAACTGTGGGCAAGCTAAACTGCATGATGAACGACATAGATGACAGGAGACCTGAACACTGAAGCTTGCAAAACATTCAAGAAATTTCAAGTTAAAAGAATAAATCTTAATATATTGCAAGATTAGCGTTGAATTCAAACTGTCTGGCAATGTATGGCAGGAAAGGATTATGAAGATTTGTTCAGAATCAAAAAATGCTCACAAGATTATGGTATTCAGGAGCAATATATGAAGACCATAAATATTTTGCTTAAGAACGTGCAATTAGGACAGGTTGGAAAATTCTAAGATCCATATCAAATTGGGTTTCTTGACAAAAATGATGAATGAAATGTTTTTGTAGAGCTAGTTCCTTTGTTACTTTGAATCTGTATGTAGCAATCTTGGCTTTGGTCAAGTCTGAAATTTTACCAGGTTCTCTATAGTAAGGTCGACGGCCATGGTCCTCACCCCTCTCTATAGGTTTCGTTGTTTGGATTCCTCGAGTAGCCTAGCCAATTTTGTATTAATGTCTAGTGTTTTTGTTATTGAAATGAAAATTTACTTATCTTTCCAAAAAAAAAAAAATACATACATAAAAATAGTATATATATTATATATATATATATATATCATATATATATATATATAATATATATATATATATATATTATATACTAAAATATATATATATATATATTATATATATATATATTATATATAATATATATATTATATATATATATATATCATATATATTATATATATATATATATATATATATATATATATATATATATACTATAATATTATACAGTTATATATTTAGCATAATATATACATATATATTTAGCATATATATTATGTATATATATATACCGAGCCACCTCAGGGTGGCTCGGCCAAGGCCGAGCCGCCTTGAGGTGGCTCGGCTTTGGCCGAGCCCCCGCGAGCGGTGTTTTCCGACTTTTTCGAGTCGTTTTCCGTTGTCTCGTTTGTCCGTGTTCCGGTTGATCTGAGACTCTGATTTGATGATCTGATTTGGCAGTAATTTGGATTCCTGATTTGGCAGTAAATCCGCTTCTGAGTTCGAGTCCGAAACTGATCTTGATTCGATCGTGGTTCGTCCGAGTCCGCTCTCGGTTGGATGACTCGTTGATTCCTCAACTCATTAGCTTGATTCTGCACGCGGGTGGATTCATTCCGTCGCTTCCGTGCGATTCGTCGATCTCGTCGCCTCGTTGGTTCGTCGGTTTGTGCCGAGCTATGCTAGGGGACCTATAAGCAATTTTATATGCCTACAGTGGGGACTGAACCTCGTAAACATATCGTATGTTTGTGTTTTCTTAGCGTATATTTTATTTGTGCTTATTTTTCACATTGTTGTTCATATTTATCTCATATATTTCTTACAAGAACAAATTAATCAATATAATTTTAATTGGCATATAATCGGAATTATATTAGCATAAGACTGTAATCACCCCCCTCTAGGGTCTAATAACCCCTAGGTTCACACAAGGCTATAATCTAAGGTGAATCCAAGAATGTCAAACATGCTGTAATTAACACCGTGCAATAACATATTTCACTATCACAGTTACTATCTCTCTATAGGAATCAATAAATAGGTGTAGGTACAAAACAAACAAAGAATAGTGAAATAGTACAATGAACAGCGTAAACACAGAAGAAGTGTAAAAATAACCCTCATGAGGGCCCAACTGAAAAAGAGTAAAATAACTTTGAATCAGAAAAAAAATGTAAATACAAGGGTCAAATGAAGTGTCACTAATGCACTCAGCCTCTATAAAATAAAAACACAAACTCTAATGTCTGAGAATAAACATCTATTGTGGAGCTCTGAAAAATAACTATAAATATAATATATTAGATGGAAACTAAGATGCAAACCCATTAACCTGTGACTCTCCGTGAACTTGACTCGCTGCTTTAAAAGAGGAGAAACAATGAGCATCAAAGCGCTATTGAGATCATCTCTACCGCCCCCAGGGGGAAGGGGTAGGAGTATATAAGAAAATACTTTTAGTACATATAGATATAAAATCATTCATATAACTCTAAATGGAAACTGGTATTTAGAAACCCACAACATGAGAATTAGTACGTCGAGCGAAATAATCCAAACAAGAAAACCCTTATGTATATACCATGTCTCAAATTGTGAATCGTTAAATACCAATACCAAACCTACGAATGAAAAACAGTAATTAAAGAAAAAATACCACAACTCCAAACCTCAACCATACAAAGCTAATGTCACAATCTCAAACTACCCTTGGGTAGTTGGCGTAGCCATAGGAAATATCATCCAGCATAAATATTACCATAGTCCATACCATGTATGCCAAGTATCTGATGTGTACCCTACTCTTGGGTAATCTAACATGAGAGCAAACTACAATTGTACATATATGCATACATACATACATATAATTTTTTTTTTTTTGAAAGATAAGTAAATTTCATTAATAACAAAAACACTAGTACATTAATTACAAAATTGGCTAGGCTACTCTGAGGATCCAAACCAAGAAAACTATAGAGAGGGGGGAGGACCATGGCCGTCACCCTCTACTATAGAGAACCTGGTAAAATTTCAGATTGACCCAAAGCCAAAAGATTGCTACTACAGTACTATCAAAAGGTAAACAAAGAAACTAAGCTCTACAAAAACATTTCTTCACATTTTGTCAAAAACCCCAATTTGATAGGATCTTAGAATTTCCAACCTTCCAATTGCACGTTCTAAGCAAAATATTTATGTCTTCATATATTCTCCTGAATACCATAATCTTGTGCATTTTTTGATTCTGAAAAATCCTTCTAATCCTTTCCTGCCATACATGCCAGACAGTTGAATTCAACGCTAATCTTTATGTCTTCATATATTCTCCTGAATACCATAATCTTGTGCATTTTTTGATTCTGAAAAATCCTTCTAATCCTTTCCTGCCATACATGCCAGACAGTTGAATTCAACGCTAATCTTGCCAATATATAAGATTTATCTTTTAACTTGAAATTTCGTTGAATGTTTTGAGCTTCAGTGTTCAGGTCTCTGTCATCTATGTCGTTCATCTGCAGTTTTAGCTTGCACAGTTTCCAGATGAAAATCGAGTAAGGGCATTGGAAATAAAGGTGGTCTCTAGATTCCTTCGCTAGATTGCAGAGCACACAGATATCAGAAGATGAGATTCCAAAATTAATCAGTCTGTCTCTGGTTGACAATCTGTTATATAGAGCTTTGAGTAAGCAATAAGACATCCTTGGGTTTGAAGAAGGAAACCATACCACATTGTAGAGTTCAAATACAGCACCAGAGCTACGTATGTGATTCCAAGCTGAATAAAAAGAGAACACTCCGTTACCAGTAGGCAGCCATTTGCAGCTATCCTTTTGACCTGTAATAGAGATGTTAGCAATAGAAGGCAGCAGAGGAATTAGGCATGGAATTATAATGTTCCATTGGGAGTTATGTATGAGGCGTGATACAGTCCAATTGCCAGTTCCTGTTTGTTGAGGGGAGAGAGAATGTAACAGATCAACAATTCTTCCTTCCTGAATCCATGGATCAAACCAAATGGAAGTTGTTTCACCATTGCCTATAGATTTTCTAATGCATTCCAGAGCTTTACTTTTTGTATTTGATAAATGCTTCCAAGTTCCAGAGTCCAATATATTAGATGTAGCATCCCAAAAATTACCTCCTTTAATATATCTACCATGCATCCAGTTTGCCCAGAGTGTGTTTGAAGTAAGTAATCTCCATATCAGCTTTAATGCCACAGTTTGACATAAATCATCAATTTTTCTCAGTCCAAATCCTCCTTCTTTTTTTGGCCGACAAACATCTTTCTAGTTAATAGCATGAAGCTTACCAATCCACAGGAAATTTGCAAATATAGATTCCAGACTTTTCACAATTGATTGGGGAAAGTTAAAGACAAAATACCAGTAAGCAGAGGTACTAAATAGGATTGATTTAATAAGTTCTAATCTTCCTGCAAATGATAAGGTTGTTGTCATCCATCCCTCAATCCTATTTCTGATTTTGTCAACTAAAGGGAGAAAATCTTTCGATTTTGGATAGTTAACAGACAAAGGTAAGCCCAAGTATTTCATAGGCAGTTTCCCTCTTGAAATTCCCACAATAGAGCTTAATTCACCTTTATTAATGCACCCTTTACTGAAGAATATTTTACTCTTGCTCCTATTTATTTTCAATCCAGTATTCAATTCCATAGAGGACAGCAAATTGTTGATACCTTCAAAAGACTTTTTATTTGCTCTACAAAAGACCAACATGTCATCCGCAAATAAAATATGAGAAATTTGAAGATCCTGATGCTTATGGAAATTTTGAATATTCCTTGAAATAGTAGCTAGTTCCATGCCAATTGACCAAAATTCCATAACAAAAACAAATATATATGGAGATAGAGGATCTCCCTGTCTTATACCTCGATTACTTTGAAAAAAACCTGAGGAGGAGCCATTTAGGAGGACAGAAAAAGAAGAAGTTGAAAGGCATTCCTTGATCCATTCGATCCATTTAACTGGAAAACCCATGCGATGCATGATATAATAAACAAATTCTCTGTTGATGCTGTCAAAAGCCTTGTGCAAATCAATTTTCAGACATGCATGATATATGTATGTATATATATATATATATATATATATATATATATATACTATTATAATATACTAAAGAACTGGAATTGAAATTAGATGGCATAGTAATCAAATCCAGAATGATGTTAGAAACTAGATGGACCAATTCCTTATGTTGGGTAGCGATTCAAACTCTAAGTCAGATGTGGGTTTGAAGGCTAGGCCCAGTCCGAGTAGTTTTATTTGAGGGCAAGTTAACTTGGGGAACAAATCAGAGGTGTTTTTAAATAAGGCGTTCTATTCTAGGGTTTGAGAGTAGAAAGAAGGAGAGAGACAATATTCATGTAATCAGTTTTTTAGAGGGTGTAACCGAGTTCAAGGGTATTGTGAGAGAGAGAGAGGGTTTGACTATCTTTGTTCGTGTAAAAAATTATAATTTAGAGATGATAGTGGATTGATTTTGATCCCATTATTTTTCGCTATTAAGAGTTTTCCACATTAAATCTCGTGTGATTCTATTTGTTGTTTTAGTGATTTTTTGGGTTTTGTGACATCTAAAAGTCCCAACAAGTAGTATCAGAGAGGGATTCGACGGTCTATAGATGTTTGAACAGTAGTGAAGGTACTGACAGAATGGGGAATACTATAGCATTACTGTAGCTGCACGGTAGGAATACTGTTCACATCGGTGAGGGTTTGGTTACAAACTATTAAATCAAATTCGACGGTGCAGATTGATTTATCTTTTGATCAAGGGTTTGGAGGCAGATTTTGGTGATCCAGGAGTCATTCATAGGGTTTTTCGACATGCCGAGTTCATTTTTTATGTTGGTTTTATAAAATTCAATCTCTATAATGATTGATTTTAATTTTGATTGTGGTTATAGGATGATGACTTCTTTGTGTCTAAAGTTTGATTTTCCGCTATTTAACAGGAAGATACATTTTATAGTATGATAGTGTATATATAGTTCAAAATATTCTTGTGCAGCATGGTGTTGATCAAGCTTTGGGGGAGAAGAAACCGAAAGGGTTGAAGGATGCTAAATGGAGTTCCATGCAAAAGAGAAGTTAACACGATTCATTTTGCACTTGCCTCTGAGATCAAGTACAATGTTAAGCAAGAGACCACACCAAGGGTGTAGGCAGTGAAAATTGTCAACCTCGCCTGATGGCCCCACCTTCCAAACAAGATTGAGCCCGCCCGCATGCTCAAGCAAAGCTAAGCAAAGCTTGCCTGATCGAGCTCGTGAGCGTAAGAGAGGCTCGCCAAACACGCCTAACTCGCCAGCACTAGTTGGGGCTTGCCTGAACATTTGACTCGCCCACATGAGCCAAACGCTTGGTTCGCCCGCATGAGCCAAGCCCGCCCATTTGCCTGACTCGCCAGCACGAGTCAAGCTCGCCTAATCATTAAGCTCACCATCACGAGTTCAACCCCGCCTTAATGCTTTGCTCGCCCGCACGAGTCAAGCTCGCCTGCAAGGAGTTCTCCTACACAAACTCAACTTGTCAACGAACACAGCTCGGAGGGGCCCGCCAGCCGACCCTACCTGTTCGCCAAGCTCGCCTGCAAGCTCACCTGAGTATTTAGATAGCTCTTGAGCTCGCCTACTTGCATGTCAGCCTCACCTAAATAGTGAAAGCGGCTACTTGCTTAGGAGAGTGGGCCCACCCACTTCCCACATCCTAGATGAAGAGGCATGGCTCCCATCACCCCTCTAATGGTCATATCCCACAGCTAGAGGGGAGGGCATGATGCTCCTCACCCATTAGTGGTCACATCCCACAAATCAAGGAATGGCCCATGTCATCCCTTGCCTATTTAAAGGACCCATTTGCTAATGTGGAAGAGGTTTAGACACGGGCTGATCATTTGCTTCTTGGAGGCTAGCTATTTTCCACTTCTCAAGAGGTTCCAAGGCTCTTCATACAGAGGATCTTACTAGCTTGCTTGATAGAACAATCTGGGCCTTTTGCTTGGATTGTTGAAGTAGACTCGTCTGAACTCTCAGATTTGAGACTCTTAAGCACTTTTGCAAACTCTTGCATTGTAGCTCACTCTAAGCATTCGGCCTTGATATTCAAGCTCGGGTAATTAAACTCAACCACATTAGAGCTTCTACCATGCACTGAAGCTCAACTGCAATTTTGATTATATCATCCAAGGAAAGCAGACTCGATGCAAGCATTCGGGGGAGGCATCCTATCTCTACCAAAGACTCCACGCTAAACAAGGAGGGCCTTCCCTCCGCTTCTATTGTAATCTTGGATTTCTTAGATTTGTAATAAGCCATTCTTATTAATACAAATCTCGCATTCGAGACCATTTTTACAACCAAACAGAGGATGACGACCACAGTGGGAGAAACCGTTTCTTCAACGAAATGGTGGTAGCACAGTACGACAATGTTGTAGTAGGGACAACCGTCGAGTCCCTCGTGATCAAGTTTGACCAAGCTAAGTACAAAGTGTACTTAGCTTCCTCTTCCTTCAGCGGCAAGACGTCCCGTCGATACCGCCGAGTGGTGAGTGTGACCCATCCCCAAGTGGCCGAGGCAACCACACCCAAGAGCTCTACCCGAGCAACAGCAAGGGGTTCTATCTCCCCCAAGCCAATCAAGGCCGAACTAATGGCCAAGTAAGCAAGCCAAAGGACTGCTTGTTAGGTTGCCAAGCAATCCACGTAGTCCCCTATGCAAGAGGAGATCACGGTTCGTGTGGGAGAGCTCACCTTCACCATCAACATGAACGCCCCCCTCTCTAAGAGAGCCAAGCGGCGACGATGACAAGCCATCGCTCCCATCGCTCGCCAAGAGGCCTAAGCCTTTGTATCCTATGACAGCCTAAATTACTATTTAGGCCTAAGAAGAGCCAAGTAGGAATGCAAAGTTCTCAGCTTTGTCGGACTACCTATTCTGGCGAGCCCCATTCCAGCAACACCTATTCAGGCGAACTTAGCATTTTAGGCGAGCCTGACATTTTAGGCGAGCCCACCTATTCAGGCGAGCTTCGCTCTGGTGACCAAGTTCCCAAAACTGGCGAACTTAGCTTTTCAAGTGAGCCTCATTCCAATATCAAAGTTCCTCGTTAGGGCGAGCTTAGCAATACAGGCGAGCCTACCAAATCAGGTGGGCTTCGCTCTTCAAGTCACATCTTCAGATCAGGCGAGCTGCCTAAGTTAGGCAAGCTTCCCAAGTCAGGTGAGCCACGCCCTCAAGCAGGCGAGCTCCACACATCAGGTGAGCTTCACCTCACAAATAGAATCAACCATACAGGCGAACCCCAGCAGGCCCACCTGAACACAAGCCTTATCTAAAAAGGAGCCAAAGCAAGTCAAGCATGTTGGGTCCTTTTGTTTTGATGATGATTTAAAAATAATTTACAACTAATATTATTTTTCTAGTGTTTGTGTTTCTGTATTTATTCTAGGCAAACAATATGTTGGAGGATGGATGAAATTGCGCCATAATGATCATATCAAATGGAGGTTGGCGAAAATAGTGGATTGAAGCCTTGTAATTCAAGTTGAAGATCCAAGTTCAAGCTTCATCCGCAAGTTTACCAAGAAGAGCTCAAATGAAGATCTATCAAGCTAGGATATATAGTTTATAGTATTTGTAGTATAGGTTTATACTTGTGTGTTAATACTTCAAGCTCATATTAATCACACATACGTATTTGTTGATTTTATCAAAATATAGGTGTTTTTGTGAAAATATTATTTTATTTGTTTATAGACTTCAATATCAGTTTATACATATTTTATTAAGTCTATAAAATCACTTTATAAAGTTTCAAAATATGGTTTAGTCAAAATGACAAAAAACAAGTGTTGTTGTATTTTCATGTTTTGGACATTTTTGTAAAATAACAAGTTTTTACAAATGTGAAGTGCAATTCTAAAAATTCTTTTCAAAACATGTTCATTAACATGTTTATAAACATTTTCCAAAGTTTTATAATTTTTAAAATTTATTTGCTATTTTAAAGGCACTTCAAAGTTCAGATTTTCTGTTTCAATCAGGTTGATACAGTGTTATCAGTCGACTGATGAATGTGTTCAGTCGACTAACAAAAGTACCTGGAATAACAAAAAGTTTCTGCTTCTAGTT